TCTTGGAGCCAGGCAAGTGCTCGTCCTCCGTCGACGTCAGGTAGCGAGCGTCGTTGGACCATCGTGTTGTAATGAAACATGGCTGAAAAACGCTAGCTTATAAAGCGTTGTTAGTGAGCAATATTCACAGCTAAGACATCTATTTAGCACGTGCCAAGCTTAGTTTTAGCTAACAGTCCCTATGCCAATGTTGCTGAAGTAGAGAAATTAAGCCCATTTTCATGCTTTTCGGCTGTGTTTCAGAATGCCCTGTGCCGTCACTGTGAAGCTTGTGTAGGCAAATATGCTGTACAGGCAAACTGTGTCGGGTCGTCAGTGCGTGTGCCAGGTTCGGTTGACTGATCTTAACGGATTTGTGAGATATTGAAGTTTAAATTGGACAGGTGAAAACACAAGTTGTTCCTTGATATTTTTGGGTGAGTTTAGTTGTCCGGTGCTCCGTAACCCTACATGTAGAACCTCGACTTTGCAATGAATTCATAGTGGAAAGGAAATATTAATGCGGGGTGTCTAAACTTAATTCTGAGGTCAGATCACAAGTATCGTACCCCTTTACATATGAGGTTTTCTGACAAACAAGTGATTTACCTTTTTCCGGCTGTGGAGGGGAGAGAGAATAAAGAGGGAGAGAGAATAAAGAGGGAGAGAGAGAGAGAGAGAGAGAGAGGGGGGGGAGAGAGAGAGAGAGAGAGAGAGAGAGAGAGGGGGGTGGGGGGTATAGGTGGACTTCGATGGGGCCCTGTCAGATTTCTTAATTCTAGGCTTACTACTCGTTCCTTCTTCGCACAAGCTCTTTTTCTGGAACAAGTCATTGATCCCCCTCCCACCCCTCCTTGTTTTAGGCAAGCGTTGATCGATATCACCCTGGACTAATACAACGAATAGTAAATCGGCTTCCGTCCTTCTTTTTATTGAGTAGCTGGCCATTCATTGTGTAGGCGTCTGTCCGTTCTTTTTATTGAGTAGCTGGCCATTCATTGTGTAGGCGTCTGTCCGTTCTTTTTATTGAGTAGCTGGCCATTCATTGTGTAGGCGTCTGTCCGTTCTTTTTATTGAGTAGCTGGCCATTCATTGTGTAGGCGTCTGTCCGTTCTTTTTATTGAGTAGCTGGCCATTCATTGTGTAGGCGTCTGTCCGTTCTTTTTATTGAGTAGCTGGCCATTCATTGTGTAGGCGTCTGTCCGTTCTTTTTATTGAGTAGCTGGCCATTCATTGTGTAGGCGTCTGTCCGTTCTTTTTATTGAGTAGCTGGCCATTCATTGTGTAGGCGTCTGTCCGTTCTTTTTATTGAGTAGCTGGCCATTCATTGTGTAGGCGTCTGTCCGTTCTTTTTATTGAGTAGCTGGCCATTCATTGTGTAGGCGTCTGTCCGTTCTTTTTATTGAGTAGCTGGCCATTCATTGTGTAGGCGTCTGTCCGTTCTTTTTATTGAGTAGCTGGCCATTCATTGTGTAGGCGCCTGTCCGTTCTTTTTATTGAGTAGCTGGCCATTCATTGTGTAGGCGTCTGTCCGTTCTTTTTATTGAGTAGCTGGCCATTCATTGTGTAGGCGTCTGTCCGTTCTTTTTATTGAGTAGCTGGCCATTCATTGTGTAGGCGTCTTTCCGTTCTTTTTATTGAGTAGCTGGCCATTCATTGTGTCGGCGTCTGTCCGTTCTTTTTCAGTCCTTTTTTTCTTGGAAGGTTGTTGATGGTGTTCTTCCTCTGTTCCGTTCAGTCTTGGGTTACGTGCATCGTACAGTTTATATTCTCTTCATGCAGATCGTTCTTCTTGGTTTGCAATAACTGCCAAACCTTCCCGCGCCGTTGACAGAAAAATAATGAATTGTTCGCAATAGGTTCAGTAAATGCGGAGATTATGTCATATGCAAAGCTTTTACTTTTAAACAGTTGGAATCAGTTTTTAAGTATTGTATTTTCCTCGTGACGTTTCGTTTATTTTAGCGCCACCAAGCTAAAAGGCGATTTTTACATTTGTGTGTGCGTGTGTGTTTGTGTGTGTGTGGGGGGGGGGGGGACACCGAATATTGTGAGACGTACTCGATATCAGACACGAAATATGATGTTCGCAATATTGTGTTTCAGTGGTGGGAGGATGTTTGGTTGTTGGTTGGGGGGGGGGGGTTGGGGGTTAGGTGGAGCGGGGGGGGGGTTAGGGGGTAGTTTTTTGTTTGTTTTTGTTTTCAGGAGGGGGGAGCATTTTATAAAAGAAACACACTAAGGGGGTCACCAATAAAAGTGCACGACCTTCTCTCGCTAAAAACGTACACCTGCCTAGAAATAGAAAGTACATTTTGTTGCCTAAACGGGTCTGACGTAAAGTGAACAGTCGCCCTCTAAGATGTTGTGTGCTCTTTTAACAGCGTACAGACAGGCTCCCATTTTTTACCGCCAAGGCGATCCGAAGAAATGACACTTGCATTCGACGGCCTGAAAGCCTTTTGTGAATAGGTTGTCTGGACTTGACATGATAGAATCTCGGGATGTGGAGGCGGCACCACGAACATTTGCTTCCGTCTGTATGAGAGCTGTCAAAGAGAGAGATAAAAACTGAACGAAGAACGAGATAAAAATCACGAGGAACAGCGACTTCTTCAGAAAAACTCAAGCAAGCTGACTGGTTTCATTCCCACCAATCGCATTTGCCATAAAATGGGAATTGAGCTCGTGAAACGGAAATTGCTTTAACTACCAAATCTATGTGCGTTTCTAGACTAATCGACTCAAATTAGATCACTTAGGAGGCGGGCTTCCTGCCCTACATGTCGGCGCCAATTCGGGCTGAGAGGGATACAACATCCCTTCAAAAAGACCGAGTTACTCGATAAAAATTCAGCTCGCTAAGGATTCGAGCTCGGGTCTTCTGCGTGAAACAGCCAAGCGCCTGCTAACCACTAAACCATCGACCTCGGAATATTCCACTAAAATGTGTAGCTTATGTACAAAAGAATAAGCTTTTGAAACTGCTGGAAGCTGGATCAATTGAGAATACACCAAATTGTTGTAATACAAAGTCTCAGCACATTGAACATGTACACCTAATTTCTTTTTAAAAGCGTCTTGTTTAAAAAATAGTTATCCATACAAAGCATGAACAGTAAATCAGAGACCGGTTGGGGATTCTTGCGTGCTTTCACTCATGCAGCTGTTAATTTATACTGGAAACATTTTTTTTTAAGTGGAATGGGAAACCAGTGGCTCAATTCTGGAGTATTTCATAACGATAAATGACGACCGAAATTTTTAGTTTTATGAATTCTTAAGGTTAAGTTCATAATGTCGTGAAAATCCGGTTCCTTCATGTCACTAAGAATATTGAAATCCACCATCGTTTAATTTTTAGGTCTGAAAGTGTGTGGTTTAATCTGTAAAGTGACACAAGGATTGGGCCACCAGATCTTTCTGATAATATCATTATGTATATAGATAAGGTTATTCTGCTTATTGTTGTTCTGAGTTCCATGGTGTCATGGTTTGCCAAACTTTCTGCTTTTTACCCATTTTCAAAACTTGTTCAATGAATTTACTTCTTTGTGGAACTTGCCTGACATTGGAATGCAGTTTTACATTCCGGACACGTATTTTTGTTGCAATCTCACACATGACTACGTGTTCTCGGTCGCCAGTATAGGCAACGTCCTTCACACAGAACAGTACGTACAATAACAATTTCAGACTGATATGTTGCTATGCGTTCGTTCTGCAGGAAAAAAACAGCTTTTGTGAGTGTCTAGAATAGTCAGAATGCTATTCCATTGTACGTTATACGTTCTATTGAACACTACCGGGAATTTCTGGTCCGGGCCTTGAACCTGTGACAATTTCCCTGACACTGAGCCTATGCAGAGGCTGACCTTTTCTGTTCTGTTTTCTTTTTGGACTTTGACTCTTCAATATTCTGGACAAATGTTACCTCGAACTAAGAAAAACTCTTTTTACTGTTTCTGTCCATATTGTATTTCTCCAGGTATCTGACTTGCAGCACCCCTTCTCAAATGTATCTTTTCACTACCTAGAACAGGAAACTAAATAAAAGTATAGCTTTACATTGAGCCAGCGTGGTCTAGAATGATGGTCTAACTGTTCGTAATCTCACTCTGGATCATGATGAATGTTGTGCTTAGGTTATAAATTAATAACGATGTTATTTGTTTGGTTTTGAGTGTTTTTGAACTGTCTCATTTTGGCGGGCTCTGAGCGAACTTATATGCTGACACTCTGAATTTACTTTTATCTCTTTTATAGAATCCAAAACAGGTTTTGAGCATTTTCTTATGCTGGGTTCTCTCAGTAGGTCGCTGCTTGTGTCCTGTCTGTAACTTGGGCTGTACATGACGTAATTCTGCGCAATAATAATAACGGAATATCCATAGTATGTGGTCAATATGAAAAAGTCCGCATTTGGAAAAGATTGAGCAAAAGGAAGGTACTTCATGGTACATAGTATTGTGACTGGGAAGAAAACTGATGCGAGAGTCTCTGTAATCCTCAGCCTTTACAAAACGAAGAGACGTATGGGAAAAACATTAACTTGACAAAATATTATTGCTTAGCTCAGATATCTTTTTTTTAACTAGGGAAAATGGCAGGTCGTTAGATATCGTTTTGGACCCTTGGGCTAAGTGTTGAACATACCTGGTCTACATGATTGTAATTTGACGCTCCTTATGTTGCTCATCTCATGTATGTTTGCTGCACAAACTCCTTTGTAAAATCTACACGAAACAGAAGACTTGAACCGCTTTCGTTTGTGCATTGTCCTGTGAGGATTGCTACGGTATCTTCATCAAGACATCTAACTCGTCTGTCCATATTGTGTTAATACTATTTTGTCCTCGGTAGGATAGAGCAACTAATGTGTTCTTACTAAGGCGGTCCAGAAAGATAACACTAGGCTCAGGGGCACTGTGATAGGTCAAGACTCATATTAAACGTGCTATAAGACACAACTATTACAAAATAGAACGCACAGATAGTAGCCAGGGAATTATACTCATTGATCTATTGTCTAATTACTTTTATTCAAATTCAATTTCGGAGACAAAAGGGTTACAAGGCAGAGAGAAAAAAAGGAAGAGCCATGCACCTTTGCTCAAGCACTAGAAAGTATGGTCAGTGGTAGGTGTAGATCTAAGCTGGTTTAAGACCTCGCTTGGGTATATAAACGAGACATCCTCTCCAGCGTTATTCGCAGCAACACACTCCAGAGTAGTGGTATAATAGCGAAGTTCATTTAACGGCAACAAGACGGTGTAGATCAGTTCATTTTGAGAAGGGCGATTCTTTGTAATATTGAAGTCTATTCGGTTCCCTGGGGTCCGTTCGTTCTTATAGATCGACATGTTGAGATTGGTTCCAGTGGCTGCACACTTCACAGATGCAAACTTGTCATCGATGACACTCATGGTAAACGCCCCATCGCTGATATCAGGGTAGCCAGCCACTATCATGTTTAGTACAATGCGGTCTGTTATTCCTCTTTCTGAGCGGGCTTCACAGATATAGTCACCGTCAAGAGACTGGTCTTTCTCTTCAAAGTGCATCGTAGCCTTTGCCCATGCACCATTAGGGCTTACTTGTGATTGTACTTCCATGTTTTCATCTTCACTGACCATTTGTTTATTCGCCTTGTAGATTTTCAGTGTTGCTATGTCCACGCCAGAGACTTGGCAGTCGAGGGCACATGGTGCCCAGAGTTGGTCTTCAGCGGCTGGATTTGTGTTACACAGGAATCGAGTTCTGTTGAAAAATGCAAATTTCCCATAAGGAATAGAAGGGGTTTCTTCATTTTTTCTAACGTGCAATGGAAACCATAGTCGACTACTTTGTATGATTGCCTCACTGTCTTCACGGTCATTTAGGAAGTCTTGGGAAAGATACAGAACTCCTGTGTCTGTTCCAGAGGCGGTGTCAACAGTCAAATGAACTCTAGCCGTTGACGTAGCAGGTTGTTCGCCTCTCGTGTTCTTCTGAGAAGTGTTATGGCTTACTGTTGACTTCATAACTTCAACGAATGTCATATTGCTGTTTCCAAACTGCTCTATTTTTTCAGCTTGTAGATCATAAGAACCGTTTGCATTCTTCTCACCTGTTACGTCCCAAAATGACTTGGAAATTGTATCTGCAGTACTAGTGTATCCCATGGTGTCTACGGCAAACCCAATGTACTTTGTTGGTGTCAAGTCTACTTCAAAACTTGAATTTTGACCATTGCCTGAGATCAATGTATTGTTTTGCAAGGTCCAATTAAATTGGAGGATACGGATTTCTTCCTCAATAAATTCTGAGGCCACTGTACTTGTTGCAGACATAGGATCTCGTTCTTCCATTCCCTTACATATGTCAATTCCGATAGTGGCGGAAGGTGCAAATTTCCGCTCCATTTCACCGACTTGAAAGTGTACACGAGATGAAGCGCTAGACACTGAATCCAAACACACTTTTGCTTCAAGCAAGAATCGAGCTCTCGAGACCTTTGGTACTGAATCTTTAGGACCAATCCTCAGTTTTCTCATGAGAGGTTTTGGAGATTGAAATAAAGACAAAAAGGGCATAACGAAGCAGGGTACCGAATGTTTCACAGTGACCACAACAGTCACGTGGGTCTTGCTTCGTCTCAGCTTCAGTTTGACGGGTTTCACGTTGGATTCGAGGCTGTACCAATATGCTTTGGATGGTTTGCGAGTGTGAGACGTTTGGGGTATTTTATGGGTCTTATTCGTCGTTGTGGGTTTAGCGTTGACTGTGTTGTTTTCATTTCGAAGATTTTCACAAAACGCCATGAAAGAAGTGAACAACTGGCTAACTTCACTTCTCTTTGAGATCCTTCCGTTTTTGAGTCTTACGAGTCGTTGCATCGGGTAGACAGTCAGAATCTTGTCCATGTCTTCCATGTTCCTTTTCATGTTCTCGTAGTGGTATTCCGTTGCCTATGGAAAAAAAGAGAAGACTATCATTTTTTAAATACAAACTAAATTTAATCATAAGCATTGGGTGGCACTGGTAGGTCCTATCTCATTTCCTGACATTCCCGGTGTTGATTCTGTTGGTATGTGTTGTTCATTCCCTGCAATACATGACTCGTATTTTGTCAGTGTGTTTATCTCGACGAAAGCTTCATAAAATATGTAAAGGTGTTGAAATAACATGACATAACAGCATCTTTTCAAATGAATACGCTATATTGATATTACCATGGCCTGTCAACTCACGTAATCTAAAACCTTCAAATATATCAAAACTCAAATCAAGCTGAGTCTGAGCCTGTTCATGTCTGAAGTTTTTAGAGAAACAAAAGATGCAATTTCCCTATCAGACTCCACCCCACCCACCCTCCCTTTCCAAAAAATAAAACCCACTCCCAGTATCTCCCTCCAAAACAATCCTCCTGGAGTCAGGGGGAAAAGATGCTGGCCTAGGATCTAACCTCTAACTTCTCCACGCCAGTCAAGTTCTCAGCTAACCATACCATATCGACCGACTGGGTGTCACGGAGGAGACCTCATCGGGGAATGGAAACAATTCGTGTGACCTTTTCAAGCCCATGTAACCCTCTTCCCTTGACTTAGAATGCTTCATCATTATGTGTAGCCGTGATGGTGTGGCTGCAGAAAGGAGAGGATAAGCAACGAAATGATATTGTTTCGGATCACGTCATCAAGACAGTTCATTCTTCAGTTTTACTTGTATAGTTGCACACTCAATGTGAAGCTGAGAGATTAAAGGGAGAGTTGGAGGGGGTGCCAGAATTTGACCTCGATTACTACTTTACTTTTACTTTTTCATCCTCTGTTGCCGCTAAGCGTCGAGGGGAGATGCAGTTTTCTATGGTAGGCCAGCTCTGCAGCTCTTTCAGTTGTGATATCATGTTTCCTCAGTGTATCCTTGACACCCTCGATCCACCTTTTGCGTGGCCTTCCTCTTCGTTTATAGCCTGAGTGCTTGGTGTTGTAGGCTCTCGAGGCGGCTGGCCTGGTGACATACGTAACAGGTGGCCAAACCATTTTATTCTCTCTCTTTTCTCTGCCTGTCTTGTCTTGTGATGTCAAGGGTTTTGCGGAGACATTTTATTTCGCATACGGTGATTTTGCTTTCATGGGTTTTACTTAATGTCCAGGCCTGGCACTGGGAGCATAATATTGGTATAAATATTGAGGTGAAAAGCTGTCTCTTTGTGTCCAATGAGATGTTTGGATGAGATAGAGGGGTGCGAGCTGGTAGGTGACAGCGTTGGCTTTTTGAAATCGCATTTCTATTTATCTGTCTATGGACTAGTTTTTCAGAAAAAGTACTGCCAAGATATTTAAACTCCTTCACCTGTTTTAGTTTTTACTATTAACATGGATGTTCACGGGACTACGGTTTCGGCCCACTTTCATAACTTCTGTTTTTGATGTGCTTATTTTCATGTTAAATATCTCGTAGCTGTTGTTCAGTTCGGTAGTGTGATTTTGGAGACGTTGTTGGTTTGGATTAATAAGACATTGGCCGTCTGTGAATAGACGTTCATCTAAGCTTTCTGAACTTTGGTTTGACCTCGATTATTTTTTCAATTTCTGAAATTGGCACCTCTTGATCAGTTAGCTTATATAGTTCAGACAAATTGCTATTTTTATTTTTGCAATCTTTTTCCAAGATAGTTCCAAACGCTGACGATGCAATAAGACTTCATAGAAGCATTCATACTCCAAGCGATATAAAAATAAGCGTCGAGCTGTTAAAACTCGCAGGAGTGGCAGTACTATTGTGGACATTGGGGCTTTAAAAATATGTTGAATATGAAGTGAGACTGTTTTGTATTGTTTGGTTGTTGTTATGGGGGTTTTTTGCGAGGGGGGGGGGCGATTACATACCAATTTCTCACTCTCTAGAGAGGATACTTCAAAATAGTCATTTCCTCCTCAGCTCTTCCACTATTCAAGTTCAAATCCAATAGAATCTAGAAACGTCATTGAATCTCCCTTCATCCCTTCATCCTTTTTACTACGCGCATGCCACAGTACAAAAGCTAATAAAAGTTTGCCTCTATCTCAATAATAAATCGAATTTTGTCCTGTACCTCTCCTCTAATGTTCCTAATAAATCGGAAAATTCAAACCTTTTAAAGTATTATTACCTGGATGTGTAGGTTGGGGATGGGGGTATCTGAATACGTGTGGACAAGTGCGGAGCATTTGAGGCGCCAAATTCTTCTCAACTTCATCCATTAAGAACATTTTAAATAGCACTTGCAATACAAAGTTGCTTAACTAAATCTATTGAACAGCTCGCCTCATTATAGCCCTTCGTGAAAAGTTGAACTTCCCTATCAAAATGCGAAGGATCGGCGTAGTAGTTGTGCAAGTTCGTGCTCTTCATGTTTTGCGCCTCAGACGGACTACTCTGTCTGGACTCTTGTCTCATTGTTGGTGTCCTCGGTCTCAGGTGGCCTGGGCCATGTGCCAGGTAGAATTTCTTTAATTCGTGTTAGAGAAGTAAGCTGTGACTGTGTAGTTCATCGAAAGTGACAGCTGCAGTGGTTAAATTTGAAAAATGCGGTTGCAGTGGGGGTCAGGTGGTTATTTTACACCTCGCATTGATTCTGTCAGAGACTTTGTTATTCTCATGTTCGAAATCTGCGGCTAAGCGTGTCTCCAGGATGACTGACCGTGTGTTATGCCCTCCCAAATGTATACATTTATGTCCAGGGCCTTCATGTCCTATTTATTGATATCTTTAAATGCAGTTGGAAGGGCCTTGAGCTCGTCTTCTTGTCCGTACATGATGTTCATTGAAAATTATCCATCTTTCATCCTGTGAACGTTTCTTAGCCAGCAAAGCTCGTGTTTTCTGAACAGAATGTAGACGCTCAGTGCGGACTTTGTTATTTGTTATTATAATATGGTCTGACAATTTTATGCCAAGAATCCACCTCAATTTACTAGTGTGGAAGGTATTAAGCCATTTTTCTTGCCTAGAGTACAAAGCCCAAGCCTCCACACGAAAGCTCGCTGAGGACACAAGCTTTATAGGCAGTCATGTTTATACTGGTTGCTAGTTTTTCCTTTTTCCAGACTCATTGCAGCTCGACCAATCCATTTGTTGATTTTTGGAATCCATTGAGAGGTGGTCGGATATTATTGAGCTGAGATAGGTGAAATGATTGACAATTTCTAAGCTGTAGCTGTTAGTGGTAATGTTGGGCTGGCCTTCGGTGTCTGCACCCATGATTTCAGTCTTCTTAAGGCTGATTGTTCGCCTAAAGTCTTCCCAAGCCTTAGCAAAACAGTTTGCTAGATTTTGAAAGTTGTCTTCTTGGAGAATTGTTATGGCAGCTTCATCTGCAAATTATAAAAGGGGGTGGGGGTCCGTTGGCGTGGGTGCCCGTAGGTGCGTTGCCGGAGGTGGGAACTTACCTTGTGTATCTGTTGGGTTTGTTGTTGTTGTTTTATTGATTTGTTTGTTTTTTGCCTTCAGTCTAAAAATATTGTACAGTTTCCCATCAGAACGGGTATAAAGGTAAATGTTCTCCGTTGATTTAACGTAACAGTGAAGCAAACACTTAATCAGTTTAAATGTTGAGTGTAGAAAAATAGTCAGCCTGTTGCATGATAAACTTCTCTAATCCTGCACCGATGCTCATGTTTATCACTGCTTTCGTTTTCTTGTTGCCAAGACAGTTTGTAAGCCTTTATGCTTTGTGATACATTTGATTATGAACAGAAGTTCAAGAGTCAGATATCTGACGTCCAAAATTATCTCTCTCTCTCTCTCTCTCTCTCTCTCTCTCTCTCTCTCTCTCTCTCTCT